TAAATGTGAGAGTGTTAGTCTGTGGGTTTTGCGTGAGTGTGTGTGTTGTGCTTGAGAAGTGTGTCGAGATGTCAGAGCCTGTGATCTTACAGGTATATGATCACTATCAGTTGTGAACACACACACACACACACTGAGAGACTGATACTCTGCGTATGAAGTGTGTATGTGTCTCTTCCTGTGAGGACAATGTGTGTTTACACAAATGGGTTAAATAACTACAATCACTACAGATAAGAGGTGGTTATTCAGCTCAGAAACAGCATGCGAACCGTAGCTCTTCATCCTGAAGCTTAACTCTGATATTACGCTTTGAGGTCTTCGCTGCAGGTATAAGGACAAATTAACTACACATAAAATCACTTTCTGCTAACTTATTTGCTTAGATCAACAATACAGCTCTCCCAGAAACACGCACAATTTTTCCTGATGATACCAAGCTGACTGCTTCATAATACTTAGAGCTTTTATGTTTCCACTTCTTACTTGTAATGCTATATATCATGCTATAATTGCTTGCACACCAATGGATCCTCTACAGTGAAAGAGTGCCGTCAGAATGAGAGTCCAAACAGCTGATAAAAACATCACAATAATCCACAAGTAATCCACACCACTCCAGTCCATCAGTTAACATCTTGTAAAGTGAAAAGCTGCGTGTTTGTAATAAATTCATTATTAAGACATTTTTAACTTCAAATCATTGCTTTCGGCTAAAATACATCCAAGGCCACATGCATAGACCTCTATCCATAATATTGCTTTCTCCAGTGAAAAAGTTGTCTGAATTAGGAGAGAAATATGTACAGATGAATCACCGTTTACAAGCCAAAACAGTCCCAAAAAAAAGCTCTAAACAAACATGTTGGTGGATTTCGATGTGAGAGGACAACAGTTATGAAAAGACAATTAGCTGTTAGTTAACTCTCATTCTGACGGCACCCATTCACCGCAGAGGATCCATTGGTGAGCAAGAGATTTAATGTACATTTCTCCAAATCTGTTGTGATGAAGAAACAAACTCATCTACATCTTGGATGGGTGGTCATACACTCTCAGAAAAAAAAGGTACAAAAGCTGCCACTGGGGCAGCACCTTTTCAAAAGGTACAAATATGCACCATTTAGGTACTAATATATACTATAAGGCACTTATATGCACCCTTTAGGGGTAAATAAGGTACAAAGATGTACCTTTTGAAAGGGTCCTGCCCCAGTAACAGCTTTCGTACCTTTTTTTTTCTGAGAGTGTATATTAATGAGCTTCTGGTTGTGCAGACACAGTTTTGAGCTGACAGATTTTGTCTGCATAGAACCTCAAACTGTTTCCACAACAGCAAATTAGTTTTTCCACAACACGTCCCCTTTAAAATTAAGCACTGCGTCTAAAGCCCTGGTGAACAACAGTACATCACAGGTATATTTGTTTCCAGGCTGCTGGCAGCTCGAATGGCCTGCAGGCAGAGCGGAGGGTGATGGATGTTTGGTGGGTGGAGCCGGGGAGACCCTTGCAGGCCGGGGCCGGCTCCGCTCCTGAGGGATGTCACCGAGCTCCAAACTGCCACAGCTTAAATGGGGAAAAGATGACATTGAGTAGTTCTGCTTACATAAAATACTGCTGCAATAGTTTCATGATTAATTTTTAATGTTGCTCCTCGGCCAGCCCTGTTGCTGTTTCCAAACCAATGCACCTTTTTCCTGGTTTTCAGTTCAGGTTTGTATGAGAAAGAAGTAGACAGAGAGGTGTGGATAGAGAAGGCCAGCAGATAAGAAAGACTCTGGCCCTTGTCAATCTGTCCAAACAAACAAACAGACAAACAAACAAACACACACACACACACACACACACACACACAATGAAAGAAGGCCTCATAAATGGCATTAACTATGCAACAGCACAGTGATACAGTACAGAGAACAACTGCATTCACATTAATTATTGAGGAAGGGAATGAAAACACCGCTGGTCTGAGAATATATCCCTGAAGAGCAGGATGTGTGTATGTGTGTGTGTGTGTGTGTGTGAGAACATAAGCCTTGTTAAGGCACAAAACATCATGCTGTTGAGAACACACAACACTTTATACTTAATCACACTGTTATCAGCATGTTTTCCATGAAGTAAAAGATAAACAAACATTATTACTTACATTGAATTAAGTACACATTTCTCTGTTTAAGTTTGATACTGTCACTCCAATTACATTGTTTTTTAGATGTTTTTATTGTTCACCACGTGAAAATCGGCTCAAAATTTATAGCATCTCCTCTCCACCAGCGTGACTTGAGGTCATGAGCAACACTAAGTGAATCTTAGCTTACCAAGTACCACTAATAAATGGAATGAAAATGTTCTAAAGAAAGCGCCACAGTCAGAATCCTTCAGATGTCAGTGGATGGATAACAGTGTGAAATCCATCAGCGTGGTCCCTGTAGTGTGGCGAAGAAAAACATTATTCTTTTGAAGACACATTTGTTTAATGTCTTCATAGAAAGCCGTACGGCGGCAGAGAACGTCAATATGCCATGGCAACCAGAGGACCACTTTTCAAAGCTCTCTGTTGACGCTCAACACCAAGGATAAAAATGCTCTCCTGAAAGCTCTTGCTTGCCACACACTCATAAAACAAACTATTCACACTGTAATTCTTAAGATGATGGAGATGTTATCTGGGAACATCCTGAAGAACTACAATACATTATAAACTAGATATGCCTGCTGGTTCTGTCCAGACTCATCTAACAAATCATACCAGCAATTATAGTTCAGCAGTTGCAACCCATTTCAAATAGCATGCACTAAAAAAAACCCTACATACTTTGCTTGAGATAAGAGCCTTCATACAGTGAGGTCTAAAAGTCAGAGATTCCAATCTTGGATTCAAAACTATTTGACTATTATATCTATATAATATTTTTAATATTTACATTATAAAAATATATTAAATATTATTATATTAAATATTAAACATTAAACATTAATAACTGATAAATGTTATATAATATAAACTGCATTAACATTTTATTAATCTATTGATAAACTAGTGTTTTCTGTGTTTTCGGCTTAAGCGATGAATTTGGCGATACGGACTCATCATCTCCACAGTAGTGGATGCACCTGCATGCAAGTTTCATAAGGATTAGCCTACATAATCTGAGAAATATTTGTTTTTTTTTAGATTTGAATTGTTTTATTTGAAAGTAGACATTTCACTCTCTCTATATATATTTTTCATGTCTGTAAGGCAAGTATACACGGAGTTTCGCGCTCAAGTTCACAGAGGCCGAGACATATTTATTGTATTGTAATTGTATTTATTTATATATAAACATATACATTTTTGATAATACATATTTATACAGCAGTTCCTTCTGGCCCTCGAATCTGACTGGCTGAGAGGAGTGCGATATTCAAGTGATATAGGAACTCCAACCGTTTCACAGTTTGTATCACTCCGCTTGCGGTATTTCTCACAGCGAGTGTGTCATGGCGGACGCCCAAATCCATTATACTTTTTATAAATCTAATTTATTTCTCATTTATAATTTTTATAAATAAATATCACCCTTAACAGATGAAAGGACAGTACGACAAAGATATCGCTTTCCTCAGCGGACATTCAAACTAATGTTTTATTGTGAAGATGAGATTGAGCTGAAGAATGAATGCTGTATCAGATGCAGGTAATCACAATAAGCTTTTAATGAAACGACTCAACGTTCCTTCATTACTAGTTCTAAAGTAACGTTTTCGAATTAGTAACGGAGGTTTGAGCTCAGCTGTTAAACTGTCAAACTGAGATTTGAATCCGTGGCAGAAAACACACAGTTTGAAAGTGCAAATGTGCTCATGTTCACCTCATGGCGTGGAAAATGAGCCGTGCTGCTACCAAAACACACAGTTTGAAAGTGCAAATGTGCTCATGTTCACCTCATAGCGTGGAAAATGAGCCGTGCTGCTACCAAACCCTGTATAATGTATGCCAGCAAGATGTCCATATTTCACAATATAGTGCACAAACTGTTTTATCTTGTAGCAAAAGCCTTGCAGATAAGCTGTTGTAGGATTTCAGCACTCCACCAACCTCCATTCCATCTGTCTGCTCTATTAGAGCTTCTGACCTGTGTACACACACACACAAACATGCACACGCATTCATATGCACTCCCACACACCT